GACCTCTGTGACCCTTGACCTTTGACCTACGTGCTCCAAAATCTAATCAGATCGTCTTCCTATGGTGATACATACTATCCTTAAGTTTGAAGTTTTTACATCTCCAGTGGTTCTTGAGATATCATGATAACAATCTCAATGTATGGAATTTCATAAGTTGACCTCTATGACCCTTGACCTTTGACCTACGTGCTCCAAAATGTAATCAGATTGTTTTCCTATAGTGATACACACTATCACTAAGTTTGAAGTTTAAATCTCCAGTGGTTCTTGAGATATCATGATAACAATCTCAATGTATGGAATTTCATAAGTTGACCTCTGTGACCCTTGACCTTTGACATACGTGCTCCAAAATCTAATCAGATCGTCTTCCTATGGTGATACATACTATCCTTAAGTTTGAAGTTTAAATCTCAAATGGTTCTTGAGATATCGCGCTAACAAACTCAATACAAGGAATTTCATAAGTTGACCTCTGTGACCTGTGACCTTTGACCTACGTACTCCAAAATCTAATCAGATCGTCTTCCTATGGTGATAAATACTATTCCCGAGTCTTAAGTTTAAATCTTAAATGGTTCTTGAGATATTGTGATAACGGTCAAACGGGACGGACGGACGGACGGACGTACGGACGGACGGACGTACGGACGGACGGACGTACGGACGGACAACCCGAAAACATGATGCCTCCGGCACCACCTTCGGTGGCGGAGGCATAAAAATGAATAAAATACAATGTTAAAGAAAGGAAGAAACGAAACGAAAAGGAAAATGATTTACTAAAGAAACTTTTGAAATTCATCTTAAAATTTGACTGATATGTATAAGTAACATTTGAAGTTGTTTTTTCATATTGTGATGTTTGCCTACGGTAACTATTCAATTGATTTGGAAGATTTGAATGTAAAATAAATCTTCAAATGAGGCTACACAAAAAAGGAAAATCCTTTCTTTCAAAGAGTCGTTTTATTAAAAGCACATATCACGTGGAAGACTTCTTTCGAGAAGTGGCTAAGGCTGTCTCATCTGAAGACGAGGTCATATTTCCGTATGCTTGTGTATACATACAGCCTGCAGAAAGGCTACATTTAGAACTTTGATGCACATTTCGTTGAAATGAATGATATGTTATTATTATTATTTTAACCAAAAGAGCTGTTACGTGTTATTTATATTTAGACAAAAAAAAAGGGGGGGGGGTGGGAACAAAACTATCAGTATAATTTATTATGTCATTGATGATTCAAATGCTTTGCAAAACAAAACTTAATCTCAATTCTTTGTTATGCCACTTGTGTGATTATGTAAGCTTGGTTTGTATCATTGTATCTTTGAATGTAAACTATGTATACCTAATAAATCCTCCGATAAGGCAAAGAAAAGAAAATCATTATAAATCATTTGCTTGTAAATTTGAAACCATGCGGTGCGCAGCTTAAAACCCAATATTTAACATGAAAATTTGATTGAAGATGTACAGTGATGGCAGATGACTTGTTTTACCCAAGGGGCATTCACGAACACATATATTGCGTCTTTAACAGTCTACACGAATTCTTTATTTTATGGGATTTGCTATCACATACAAGTATGTGTATGTACATATACATGCCATGACAACGGTTATTAGAGACAATTTTTTTCAAAATGTTATGTCTCTATATGCCAAAAACAGCGGTTATTCTGACGATAGCATTCTGGAGGGTTTATCAAGTCATTTTGGAACACAAAAAAACTGGAAAGGATAAACAAAATATTCTGTATTGAAACTTGTATTTGACTGATAAATCGAAAAAAAGAAATAGAATACAATGAAGAAGAAAGGAATCAGGAATACAATCAAAACGAAAAGATGAATTACTAAAGAAACTGTTGAAATTCATCTTAAAATTTGACTGATATGTGTAAGTCAAATTTAAAGTCGTTGTTACCTATTGTGCTGTTTTTTATGGTAACTGTTCAATTGATTTGTAAGATTTGAATGTGAAATAAATCTTCTAACGAGCCAAAACAAAAAAAGGAAATAATTTTGTTCGAAGAGTTGTGTTATAAAAAGCACATCTCATATGGAAGACTTCGTTCGAAAACTGGCTACTGTCTCATCTGAAGACGAGTAAATATTCAGTGATTCTTATGCGTACATACTGCCTGCAGCAAGGCTACATTAAGAACTTTGCAGCACATTTGTTCGAATTAATGATTGATATGTTACTATTGTCATTATACATTCTTTGCTTGTAAATCAGCTTAAAATCGAATATTTAAAGTGAAAATTTGATTGAAGATGTACAGTGATGGCAGATGACTTGTTTTACCCAAGGGGCATTCACGAACACACATATTGCGTCTTTAACAGTCTACACGAATTCTTTATTTTATGGGATTTGCTATTACATAAAAGTATGTGTACGTACACATACATGCCATGACAAAATTGTTTTCAAAATGGTGTGTCTTTATAATATGCCAAGACAGCGGTTATTCTGACAATAGCATTCTGGAGGGTATATCAAGTCATTATGGAACGCAAGAAAACGGGAAAATATCAACAAATTATTCTGTGGTGAAACTCGTATTTAAAACATAAATCGAAGAAGAAAAAAATGCAATGTAGAAGAAAGGAAGGAATACGTACAAAACAAAACGAAAAGATGATTTACTAAAAAAAACTGTTGAAATTCATTTAAAAAAATTTGACTGATCTGTGGAAGTAAAATTTGAAGTTGTTGTTACCTATTGCGCTGTTTGTCTATGATAACTGTTAGATTGATTTGGAAGATTTGAATGTGAACAAAATCTTCTAATGAGGCAAAACAATCATGAACCCTGATCAAGTGAAATGCAGTGAAAGCGTTCGTCATATGAGAATAATAGCGAGTTTTCGCAACCGGCGACGCGGCCTTCTATAACGCAAATCTTCGCGGGGTGTCGCACTCAGAGCGAAAATGTCCGCGTCCAAATCTCCGACGGTATTCAGCCGTATTAACGTCGGGAGTCGAGCTAGTACGGGGTGGGGAGCTCATTCAAATACCCCAAAGTCATCACTTGTCTCGCCGTTCGAGAAGTCCCTATTAGTATTAGATTGTGGGGGAAATGCGGAAAATGTCAATTTTGTGATGCCTATTTTCACCTTAATTTTCTTGCAAAAAGGGATTGATATTCTTACCCATTGCAAAAGGGGTATTTAACTATTTATATGCCTCACAAATGTTCACCCTTTGCCACATTGTATTCTTGTCATGTTTATCATGGAATAGATCTACCAAAAGCTTCAAGATTTGTTTACTGTTTCCAGTGCAGGCAGTCTGGCAGGAATAATCTATATAGGGGTAAAAAGGTTTCAAGGAGCTCATCAATTTGTTTTTTAATGGGTTATTTTGCAAAGCCAATGTGTTGCACAAAGCAATCATGCTTTCAATCAGTACATGTTGATTTGAGTCGATCTCCACGTACAAACGAGCGACAGAGCATATTACTGGTGGCAAACAAAAATAATAGCTCACATTTATAATGCCCCTAAATACTTTGTTTCTAGGCGCAACACAAGAGGTTAATCTGGATCAGAGACTCCCATTATCAACAATGATAAGAGGGAGGTAGATTTAAATATGGGTATATTCGTTGGTTATGATTAATACTCCATTAAAGCTTGTTTATATGTAAATTAACAGCGTCTTATTAATAATAGTATATGCATTCGTATCGTGATTATTTAAACAGAAAGAGAGGGAGAGAAAAAGATGATGAGAGAGATGGATAGAAAGCGAAGAAAAGAGGAAGAGACAGAGAGAGGAAGAGAGTGAGAGAGTAAGAGAGAGAGAGAGAGAGGGAAAGAGAGAGGGTGTGTGTGTGTGTGTGTGTGTGTGAGAGAGAGAGAGAGAGAGAGAGATGGGGAGAGAGTGAGAGAGTAAGAGAGAGAGAGGGGGAAAGAGCAGGCGCGGATCCTGGATTTCTTAGGGGAGGGGGCCCAACTTTTTTTTTTTGCCTCCCGAAAATTTGAAAATCGCGCCGCCCCCCCCCCCCCTTGAGCGCCAGGGGGGGGGGGGGCAACCCCCCAAAAAAGGTAAAAATCACGTGTTTTTACATGATTTTTTTTTCTCAAGGGGGGGGGGGGGCGGGCCCCCCGGCCCCCCTCCCCCTGGATCCGCCACTGGGAAAGAGAGAGGGTGTGTGTGTGTGTGTGAGAGAGAGAGAGAGAGAGAGAGAGGGGGGGGGGTAAGAGAGGAAGAGAGAGAAAAAGATGAGTAAATGCTTACACTTACGCAATAATCCTACAACTTTATTTGCTTAAATTATAAGGTGATACATAGGTCTTTATGAAATCGCGAAGTATTAGAGTTTTGAAAGAAAAATTTGATCACAATGTGTACTGTCAATGCACCGTCAATGATCCTCTAAGAAAATTATTTCTTTCAATCGTGAGTCGGGTAGACCGATATGAATTCGCCTCGAAAATTTGGAACGAACTTTTGATGGGAAAAAATAAACAGAACATGATAATCCAGTGTCGTGGTCTGGTGGTTCATTTACTTGACTCTTGAGGCGTTGAATCTCTGTGAGACATCAATTTGCATTTGCCACTCTCCACCCAGGTGTTAAATGCGTACCCGGTAGGATACCCCTAACTATAACACTAAATTCAAAACAATAAAACTAATGACTAATGATTAAACCTTTTGTTTCTTGGGAGGCCTTTAAGTTTCCTCTGACTGCAAACATACATAGAGGGCAGTACTTCTTTTGTTCAATCGTTAACAGGAAACGAAAATGTCCTGCTAATGACCGTGTCTACTTAATGACTCATTTTGTCACTACATATGTCCGTCTATGACGCTGTAAGATGTATGTAGTACCAAGTATATATATGATTACACACACTCACACACTCACACACATCCCACGCTCTCACACACATGGAAAATTAAAGAGGTTGAATAAACGGTTTACTTGGAAAGCATTGCAAGTTGACACATTAAGCAGAGATCAGTGCTGTAGTTGATATATACGCAAGCAAGTTTATTTCAGTTATGGCAAAGGTAAAAAGGAATACAACATATATCATGGATATCATTTTACAATTAAAAATATCTTTGGGTAAGATGCCTCATACCAAAATAAATACATTTTGTAACAATATATGGCGACTCAAAATGAGGTTTTTGGCATTAATACCAAACAAGAGGCACAGTATACGGTGAACAAATACATGTATGCGGTATTATTGAATCAATTTAAATTGTGATAAGAGAATACAAGTAATGCAAAATTTGTACATAAAATAATTTCAAAGGATAACATGTCTCTGATAAACTTCAGAAGTTACAAAGATATCAAATTATAAAAATTAGCCTTTAAAACTATGCTTCTAAATATCTAAAGAAATTTTGATTTTTGATTTTATTTCTGCATTTTTTCCAATGGCTGCACTTCAATTACTGCAAGCCTATAAGTAATTTCCATGCTGACACTAAATAGAATTTCAAACTACATGGTATCATGGGAAGTTTCACAATCACAACATTTTAATTATATGCTTCAGATAAAATTTATACTCAATTTAGGTCTTTATCAAGAGTTTTTTTTTTAAACAATGACAACATCTTTATCATCCCAACAGTGTACATTGCTATCCAGCACAATATATTTTCATTTTACGCTAAATATAGAGTATACAATTAAAATTGTGAAGAAAAATAGAAAAACAATTAATTACAGGACATGACGGACATAAAATGGTGTAAAGACATGAAATAGTAGATGGATATAAATTAATATATTACACATGTACTGAGGAAAATAATATGCAATGGGGATTGTCATGACATTATAATTGCATAATTAGAAATGAAAGGCTATACATATGATGTCATATTAAGCTTGTCTAACTGGCCAATTTATACATTTTGGCAAGAATATAAGCAAGACATGTTGGGTGAAAAATTATGAATACAAGCCTAACACAAATATATGTAGTCATCTCCTACATGATTATAATGTGCATCTTGGGAAAAAATAGGCATGCAAATACAAACATAACAGGTAGACCTCTAGCCCTCTACATAATGTTTAACGCATAATATGGCACGCAGGTATTCTTTAGTTTTTGCTAAGGTATGGACAAATAATTAAAGTAAATTTTAATTGAATTGAATTAAAGGCTTTATTATCTTTTCATCGGAGCCAGTTGCTGAATTGAGAACGATGTACAATAATAAAGCCATACAAGTATTGAAAATATACAATATTACGTATATACTTAAAATCAAATATTATAAGAGTATAACATGAACATGACAAACGAACTTACATATGAGGAATGTGTATTAAATTAGTGCTGGGATTTAGCTTAACACATTTAAGAGTTATTGTATATGAGAAAACAATATCCACAATGATTATACACTGAATTAATTTGTTTAAAATTGAGAAATGGCTTCCTAAGAAAAAAAATTGAAAACAAAATGAAATTGACGACTGGTTAAGATGCACAAAGATGTTGGAAACAGTAATCATGTATTCTTGACATATAACTCAGATAATCCACCAGGTAATTGTAAAGGACTGGTGTAAGGAATTAAACTTTACTGTGCCGATGAGGCTTTCCGAGACAGATTCTACAAAGAAAAACATGTGAACAACATTATAATGTTGTGGCACACAGACCATTGTTTTAGCCTGAGATCTATTACTACATGCATTGTGACTTTTTATTGTTTCATATTTCAAATAAATTACAAATTTTGCAGTGATTTCACAAAAAATAGTATAAATAAATGTGGATTATAACAGAGACAAAAAGAGAAAGTGCATGTGCCTCATATCATTTTGTTCAAAAGCATTAAATTAAAAGTCTGACGAAGAAAAAAAGAGTGAAATATGGAGGAGCCAATGTTGAAAGCCATGCTTGTGAGTTATAGGCCCCTTACATTGAAAGCTTACTAAAAGGATCTTTGATCTTTATTCCAACAAAATGGATAAAAATCTGGATAATTTTAAGGGGTGTGATGAGCATCAAAATCAGAACCATCACGATTTTCATCTTTGTGTTCGTTTGGCTTGGCTATAAGGATAAGAGTAAATGAATGAATTTCCCAAAGTAAGGAAAAATCCACACAAGTACTAAAGGTCATGTGACATGATGACCTAATTATCCTCCTCCTCTTCCTCCTCCTCTTCTTCCTCTTCTTCTGGCGAGGTATCTCCCGTAGTTTCTCCAAACAGTTCCTTCCCTCCTGCTTCACCAGTCAGAAAGTCTGGTGGCTTGATGTCCCGACCCTTTAGCCTCAGGGTCACAACGTCCGAAGAGTCCTGGAGACCTAGAAGAATCATCTGTCCAGACATGACCACCTCGACGCAGGAGATCCGTAGGTCAGGGGTGAACATGGCTAGCTGCGTGGCGTGATCAAGATCCCACAGCGTGATGTCACTGGCGACGATGACAGCACGCGAGCCATTATCTATCATGAAGATCTTGGTGCTAGTGGTGAACTCTAGTGCTTGCGTCGATGTCCGCAGCCTGCGCAAGGTGCTCCTGCCTCTCTGGATGTCCCATACCTTCAGTTGGTGGCGTTCGTTCCCAAACAGCACCCGCGAAGCATTGTCATTCATCCCGATGCAGCAGACGTTCGACTCTCGCTTCAGACGCTTCCGGACCTCGCCTTTGTGGAGGTTCCACACCGTGACGTAGCTGACCTTGTCGTTGTCGTCATAGTTGACATGGGCGAGGTACTTTCCCTCGGGCGAGAGAGCAGCGACGTAGAGCTGGAGCATGGAGCTCTCATTCTCAACAGTCTGCATGTGCTGCTGTGTCTCTACGTTGAAGACACAGAGGTGGTGGCCAAAGTAGGAACACACCAGGACCTTCTCATCCTGACTCATCAAGTAATGCTGAATGGCATTCTCCTTTTCCTTTCTTAGATCTTCCAATCTCTTCCTCTCCTTCTCCAACTCCATCTCTTTCCTCTTCTGTCGCTCCTCCTGACTCTCTGATCTATAAACAAGTGAGTAATGAAAACAGTGGAACCTCATTATAAAAGGTACCTTTTTTATTTTAAATAATAACAATTTTTTAAATATTTGTTATTATCATGTTCTCTATGTATAGTATCATCATTGTGATATCATTATCATCAACCTTTTAAGACGTTGTCATTAATCTTTTAAAACGTTTTTATCAATCTTTTAAAACGTTATCATCCATCTTTTAAAACGTTGTTATCAATCTTTTAAAACGTTATCATCTATCTTTTAAAACGTTGTTATCAATCTTTTAAAACGTTATCATCTATCTTTTAAAACGTTATCATCAATCTTTTAAAACGTTATGATCATACCTCCGTTCCCATGGCATCATATCGGCAGTGTTCTGTCTCTTGAGTCTGGAACGAAGTTCCTCCACCTCCTTCTTCACCTGGAGTCGATCCGTCTTGAATCCCGTCTTGATCCTAAACTTGATGTGACCTGACTCAAGGTTCCATGCGATGAAGTGATCCCTTGTCTCCGAAAGCCTGATTTATTTTAAAAAAGGCCAGATTTAGATTACTCCTTTCAACAGTATTGAAAAAAGACGAACCGGTGATAGAGTTCACATTTCTTTCAATTAGCTTGCCATTTTAAAATTGATGTGAGCAGAATTGAGTATCAAAATGATATTACTGGACTCTTTTCAATCGTTGGTCTGGACCCTGTTTTATCAAACTTGTTATCAATAACAAGTTGCAATATCTGTTATAAGCACTTGATTGTCCGACAGCAAATTCGTTATAAAAATGTGACACATACTATTGATAACAAGTTTTACGAAACAAGGCCCAGATTTCTGTAAACCAACACCCAGATCAAAGTAAAGCATGAATTAAGCATTTAATTCGTAGCCTTTATATGCAAGGGAGACAGTAGTCTACAGCAGTCACTTTTCCTGTTTTTCTTGCATTGGGTGGCCTTAATACTTTGAGTGCTTTCTTCACCTCTCAAGCACAGTCGCTCGCTAGCCACATTTAAAATTGTGTACATAACAATATATATGCACCTATTGACGGAGAGGTTGCTTTTGGCAACAAAATGGCTTTGTAAAATGACCAATCTTCAGTATTGATTAGCTCCATGACAACTCTTGCAACACTGATATAGATTAGTCTTAACTAGACACAGTAGAACTAGTATATGTAAATGTACAGTTTATAAACCTATTTCATGTTTTCTTGTATTTTACTGTATTTATGATACTTTTAGTCTCCAGACTTTTGCCCGTTTCTCTTTTACTATGAAACCGAAATTGAAATGAACTGAATTGAATAACCTGGAAGCCTTTGGTTTATCTTTCTATGGTAAATACAATACATCACAGGGACATCACAGAAACATCCCCCCTGCTTGAATACAATACCTACCCTAGTAGTAGTTCCCCATCAAGTAGTCTGTATTCATGGGCTGGAGAGGGCACTATAAAGACCCCAGTCAGTTTCCTAATGTACTTCTTAGTCCCAAGATCATACATGAAAACAGTCTGAAACACCTGATATATATGAAAGATATAATAATGATATAGTAATAATAGTTATATTTATAATCAAAATATTGATAACATAACAATAATTATCATCATGATTAATCTTGTTTTACTACTGTTCTTCTATAGGCCCTCCAATCATTAAAGTCTGTTGACTTATCTACTACACTAACTTCAAAGTTGAATTGTTTGTTTGACATGGTGGCAGCGGTGGGATTTAAACTACTACTACTAATACTACTACTACTACTACTACTACTACTACTATTACTACTACTAATACTAATACTACTACTACTACTACTACTACTACTACTACTACTACTACTACTACTACTATTGCTACTACTACTACTACTACTTCTACTACTACTACTACTACTACTACTACTACTACTAATACTACTACTACTACTACTACTACTACTACTATTGCTACTACTACTACTACTATTCATACTACTACTACTACTATTACTACTACTACTACTACTACTACTACTATTACTACTACTACTACTACTACTATTACTACCACTACTACTATTACTACTACTACTACTACTACTACTACTATTACTACTACTACTACTACTACTATTACTACCACTACTACTATTACTACTACTACTACACTATTTTCACACAACTGTGCCAGGAGTGTCAATTTTGACGGACATTGCGCATAATAAACGTTCACTATTATTATTATTATTATTGATATGATAATGGAACAATGAAATGCAACAGAGTCAACTAAAGAGAAGTCTAAAGCACTTCCAATAATTACATAATTGGCAGAACACACTTGAATTGCTATTTGTAAAACAGAATACAAACAGAAAAAAGCAAACCTTTAAACTAGTAAAGAGATCGTGAAATATATTGTTCTTATTCTGATTATCCAATCAATTGTCAATGAAAGTATCAAGAACCCTTAAAATTAAAATTTCAAGACAAGACTGACCTGAGAGGGTTTCTCGCTCACGCTTGACATTCCCAGATCCGAGAGAATAACCACCTGATGATTCCTGATCAAGACCACATCATGGGAGTCCACAAGCCCCCTCTCGATCCTCACTGCGTTCCCGGCACACTTCCCCTTCACCACGTTCCACACGCTCAGCGGGCCGTTCTTGACCGACTTGGCGACGACGTAGCGCGGGTTGTTGATCATGGGCACCAGACCGGTCACTCCCAAGGTCTTCTTGGACTTGGCGGCATCGTTGTCCCGCTCGTTGACCTTCCGGCTGATATTCCAGATGCGCAGGGACTTGCTCGTCTGTGATGCGGTCAGGAAGTACAGCAGGTCCATGCAGGCACCGAATTTGGACATCTGGACAGAAAAAAGAGTTACAGGCAATAGTATCTGGGTACCTGGCAGGGATTCCTTGAAATGATAGCATGCCTTAATGGCAGCCATGCTAAAGGCAGGGTAATAATCGGGAGCGCCACGAGTGTCAAGTCTGACAGAGATGAGCACTGTATAAGAACCCACTATTATTATTGTCTTCCTGTTGACAAAGGCGTTCCCTGCATGACCACAATGACAAAATTCCAAGATATTTTCCTGATAAGAGTCTCAAACTTGCAAGATCTTTAAAGAAGACTTTTTACACAGTGACTATATAGCCTATCATCCAATGAATAAGCTGTATTTCACAAGACAAAATGTGAACATCTTTCATTGGGGCCTATGTAATTCCCTCATTTTGTCCATTATAAGTGAATTAACTTATGTTTCCTATCTGGAAAAAGAGGAACTCATTTTCTAGGTTTTTCTTTGATTTCTTCGATAGCTGGGAGCTATGTAACAGCTCATTTTTCAGTTCTAAGATTCTCACAGAATGAGCACTAGCAGGTGTTTCAAGTGCCCCACTTCCTCCACCCAAAAAGCAAAATTATGTATGATCCAATACAGGGACCCATTTCACAAAGCCTTTTTTAAATGATATTTAAATGACAAAAAACAGTGACAAATCTGCTGATAACCAATCAGAAGCAAAGAATTCACTGACATTTCATTTGTCACTGATGACAATTTTGTGATATTTGGCCCAGATCTTCCTCTATAACTTTCAAAAACATTTTTATGGGGACTATATTGTGTTTATCAGGCGCGTACGCAGGATTTTTTCAAGGGGGGGGTTTTAACATTTTTAAATCGGGCCGAAAATTTCGCATTGACTCAGCCAGCCGCTGAATAAGCGGGGGGGGGGGGGGGGGGGGGGGGGGTCTCGAAATTTGAAAATTCGACATTTTGCTCCGATGGGGGGGGGGGGGGTTAAGGTCGCCTTTTTTACGTCAGCCATGGGAATAACTTTTTTTTTATTTTTTTATTTTTTTTAATTTTTATTATTTTATTATTAAAAAAATAAATTAAAAAAATAACAAAAGGGGAGGGGGGGGGGGGGGGGGTTGGTTTTTTACGCGCCTGGTGTTTATACATATAGGATCATCTTCATTATTAATATATTTTCATGTAACTATTTAATATTTCTCATCATCCTCTTGTTTTATTCCAATTTGCTCTTATAATTATTGTAAGTTCTTATTTTAGTTGCAAGTTTTCCTTACTCCTGTCTTATCTATTTACTTTCTTTGTCTATAGGGACCCCTCTGCTAACAACGCTGAGTAGGGCTATCCCTCCATCTTCCATTCATAAGTGTGCATGTATGATTGTAATTGAATATTTGTTGATGTTTTTTAATTGACAGAAAATAAATACAATATATGTTTTCCTAGCCTTTTGGAGTGGACTTGCCTTTTTAAGCATCGACATGTATATTGAGTTGATCACTGTAGCAAATTATTCATAGAAAATCTTGATCTTTACCTGTGCATGCTTGGCAAGATGCTTGTGATCTTCTGTTTCTAGATTCCATACGGCGAGCGTTGTTGTGTTTGTATGTGGGTTAGGGCACACTGTGAGAGCATGGGACCCCAGGCGGTTGACGTACAACTCATTCACGATGTCCGTTGTGCAGCCTGCATGATTGTGGAGAGATGGGAGGAGAAAGTGTAAGGAAAAAGAAATCCAAGGGAATGACACAGGTGTTAGGCAGATTCATTTTGAAATGATAACATTATCTATTTTTTGCACTATGCAATCTACAAAATCAGAATATGTAGCAATTTCAGAAAAATCAAAATTACCTGATTTTCTCCTGATTTTCCCTAATGGAGTAGCAAAACATTCAGTGTAAAACACGTCTTCACAATGTCCTGGCTAGATATCAGGCTAGACTACCCCTTTAGAGCCTATCTACAATAGTTTGGCCAGGAGGGATTAGACCTCCCTGTGAGGTCACTGGCAGGTGGTTATCTCATAAAACCAGCTCTCAATTAAAGGCATCATTTAACAATATTAAATCTGAGATGCATGGCCTTAAGTGTTATCAGTGTCTGTGACATTAAACCCTACAAAAATTGTGTTTCAAAATGATCATGAAGTGCCTCAAAAAATTAAAAAACTTTGAGTGACCGGTTTACCATATACTCATTCTCCCCAATAGACTTTAGTGTTATAAAAACTGTTGGGAAAACGATATTTGATTTAGATTTCCAATAAAAAATATCTTGATAAATCAGACAAGCAATCGGCTTGTAAAAGTCATGGGATTCCTGACTGACCCAAAAGATTATAATTATGTTTGCAGCATGAGCTCAATCCAGGATTTTGTTTTGAATCTGAGGCAAAGATACCCTATCCCTTGAAAACTAATTCCATCTCTTCCATTACCTTGTATTGCCCTGAGATAGGCTCCACTCTTGATATCAAAGAGCTCAAGTTGATGAATCTCAGAGACCTTCTGGAACATGTACCGACACGCCACCACGTAGTAATCCTTCGATACACCTAGAGCAGTGATGGAGGCTGATTGTTTAGGGGGTGTTAGGTTGTGGATCTGCAAATGATGAACCATAAGAAAAATATTAAGATGTTTTCAATCCATGCAAACATATTAATGAAAGTAGCCTAATAAACAACCAGAAATTACTTTTGCAAAAGAGACATGATTAGACTAGAATCCCAGAGGCATTTGCATACATGGCTAATAAAACAAATGGCTCACACATATGCATAATTTACAATTCATAGATGAAAGGTTCTCCCTACCATGAAAGATACATTTGGAATTTCACCTACCTTGTTCCCTGTTTTGGCATTCACCACAAAAGCTGTATTACTGCTCCTGTATGCATACAGCACTCTCTCACCGAAGGGGCTAAAGGACACACTCAAAGACTCGTCCTGGTGAATACCTTGACCTCCGATATCGACCTCTACCAGAACCTGCACGTTCTCCCCCGACACGTCCCAGGTACGCATCACATTTGACCCGGTGAATAGCGCCACCACGAGGTTATCGTTCTCGCTGGCCGTCGTGATGACAGGGGGGTCGATGTACTGGGTGATCTCCAAGAGGCAACTGCCGTTGCTGAAGGAGTTGAACTTGATGCGGCTTGATTCCACAGTGACGGCTATGGAGTCATTCTTACATAGCCTTATTGATGAAATCTGTGGAATGAAAAGGAACAGGTAAACAAAATGATTCAAAATTTGTTCTTGTATGGCCAAAAATAGGTAGAGCATATTTAATTTTTTATGCCTCCGTTACGAAGTAGCCGGAGGCATTATGTTTTCGGGTTGTCCGTCCGTCCGTACGTCCGTACGTACGTACGTACGTACGTCTGTACGTACGTACGTCCCGTTCTCGTGATCGCGTTATCTGAAGAACTGGTTGATGGATTCCTGCCAAACTTTGGTCATGTATGTATCTTGTAGAGCCGATGAACTGATTAGATTTTGGGGTTACGAGGTCAAAGGTCAAAGGTCACAGGGCTCATTATGTATGCAAAACGAGCTCGTGATCGCGTTATCTGAAGAACTGGTTGATGGATTCCTGCCAAACTTTGGTCATGTATGTATCTTGTAGAGCCGATGAACTGATTAGATTTTGGGGTCACGAGGTCAAAGGTCAAAGGTCACAGGGCTCATTATGTATGCAAAACGAGCTCGTGATCGCATTATCTGAAGAACCGATTGATGGATTGCTGCCAAACTTAGGTCATGTATGTTACTTGCAAAGCCAAAAAACTGATTAGATTTTGAGGTCACGAGGTCAAAGGTCAAAGGCCACAGGGCTCATTATGTATGCAAAACGAGCTTGTGATCGCGTTATCTGAAGAACCGATTGATGGATTGCTGCCAAACTTAGGTCATGTATGTTACTTGCAGAGCCGATGAACTGATTAGATGTAGGGGTCAAGGTCAAAGTTCAAAGATCACAGGGCACATTATGTATGCAAAAACAGCTCGTGATCGCGTTATCTCAAGAACCGATTGATGGATTCCTGCCAACTTAGGTCATGTATGTTTCTTGCAGAGCCAATGAACTGAGTAGATTCTTGGTTCATAAGGTCAAAGGTCATGGGCTCATTATGTATGCAAAAATAGCTTGTAATCACAATATTCTGAAAACCTGTTAATGGATTACAATTGAACTTGAATTTGAAAAATTTCTTCTGTTTTGGTTTGTAAAATTGCTCTATGACGGAGGCATCATTTTCGACTGCGCGCAGTCGAAGTTCCATCTAGTTGTTTATAGATTTGGTATCGAGCTACTGGAAAAGAAAAGAAATTCTAATTCAAAGATTCACAAAAAAGTATCGGTAATCACTGAACAAGTACACTTCTCTCTTACATTTCTCAAAACGAACGATATATGCCTATCATATCTCAGTACATCTACTATAGATAGAATCCTTGAAGCACCTTGATAAGTTAATTAGAACCTGATACGGCAACATCATAAACATCTCAACATTTTACAGCCCAAGGGAATGTCAAAGTAGTCTTCCAACAAAAGTGACCAACGACTTGATTAGATTGAAATGAAATAGCCTGGAGCATGAAGGTCTTATCTCAATGTACACTATTCTAGCTGTCAGTCCAATCCAAAATCCAATCCAGGTATCATAAAGCTCCAATATCTAGTTGCCTAACGAAGGCACCGTCAAAAACTAATCTTACGGTAACCCTCAACCATACCAGATGCAACCTTTCAAACCAGTAGGTTTTGCTAAGTTCAGCTCACCTCTTTCCCTACACCTTCAACTGTCTTCATGACCTTCCTGTTCTTCAAATCCCAGAGCTTCACCGACCCATCCCTCGAGGCCGTCGCAGCCACGCCCATCGTCAACCTCGACACCGTCACCGCGGTGATGACCTCTGTGTGACCTGCCAGGAGGTCGTAGAGCACGCCCCCTGGCTGGGCGAGGCATGACACTGAGGGGATGAGGGCGGGGACGGAGGACCGCTGGGCTTGGTTGAGCATTGAAGCGACGGTGGAGTACTTCTTAGGGTCGCCAATTGACATGGGTTTGTCGTTGCTGATGATGTTGTAGAGGCGCCCGACCAGTTGGGAGGCAAGCTGGTTCGGATCCTGCAAAGCAATAGAGAAAATAACAATGAATGTATGTATGACAATGACATGGATTTTTCAAATTGGCCAGTTACTATCAATCCCAGATACTTGGTGTTAAAATAGGTGCAGGCCAATCAATACACCATTCTATTGATCTACTTTATGAATTTGACTGAACTTTAACTGGAACTTTTATACATCCTTTACATATATTTACCTTCAGCAATGCGCTCGTTGAGAGATGGAGGGTGCTGCTCATCAGTCTGACCTCAAGGTCATCAGGGTGAACAGTAAGGGCGCTCTGGAGGTCATCCTGGATGGCACGCAGAGAAACCGCCCTTAGCTTGGCAAGGGTCCATTCATAGTTGATGAGAGCCTCTGACTTCAGCTTGTCAAGTTGACTTGCGTGGAGGAGGTGGTAGGGTAGCTCGTTCAGCTTACGCATGTTGTACTCCTTTGTTGCAACTCCTAAATATCATATACATGTTAGTATTGAAGTCTGTTGGTTATTTATTACTCAGAGTACTTTGTATTTTCAACTGCCCTGTATCTGAAAGTGAATTACTTCAACTTTTCCATTCCATGTAACGGCATTATACATGTATTGATGCTTCTTTTCCTATTCGTTAATTATTCAATTATTTTGATAACACAAGAATAATACCACACATCATCGCTTATTTCTTTCTCCAAACTATTGATTATTAATCAACGTCATAATGACACAACGTCACAAAAAGTCACACCTTTGTGTATAATATTGTCAACAGTGTTTTCTACATTTGTTTGGAGAATGGATTGTCTCTTGAATGATGTTGAGGCAGTCACTGCTGACACTAACAATGCATTTTAAAACATTTCACTTTTGACTTGGCCCCATATTCAGCTGTACTGCACATTCCATGATTACATAATCATTAAAGATGGGGTCACGATCATTCTAGAACAAATAAACAGATGTCGTAACAATATCGATATCATTAACATTAACATTAACATATCATTATCATTAACACTCAAACTTGAGTTGCAGAGCTCTTTTCAAGGAGTTAATGATAGGCAATGATTAAGAAACAAATTGAGATTATATTAGTGAGCCAGTACTTACCCCTTTTATACGGACGATCTTTAGTGTGCAAAAGGCATGCATTTAGAAACAGTCAGTAGCCACAGCCAAGGAAGTGCATAAGTGCGATATTATTTGAAAAAAATCCAACAAAAACACTGTAAAACCATCAAACTTTGTAACATGACACCTTAGCTCATCACTAGAGAAACTTTAGCAATTGCAAACTAAGATGTTGTATACATGCACTGTTGCTATTAATGTTTGAATACATTTTGTTTACCTTTTTTCACAAAATTATTGTGACAATATGATTCATCCTTGGCAGAAAAAGTTTATATCTTCTCAGAGTTTTATTGGTCGATATAAAAAAGTTAAAGAGATTGATCAATAACATTTTGAGAAGGTAATGAACTACAGCTATCAAGAATATTCCATATGGTCCCAATCCTTTCATGAAAAGAGGTAAGTAAAAGTTGTTCTAACTTTGTAGGCAACAGTGTATTCTGATTCTAAGCAGGAAAGTTTGGTATATCTGGACTATAGACCCATCTTGAGTTCATCGAACCTTCATGTACACAAGACGTTTCTGGTTTTACAATTAGTTAGTTCATACACATATAACATGTTAATAAATCAGCAAGTATACTACATTTTGAAAGGGTACTGCATTGAAAGTGTAATAACACACAGCAAATGAAAAAAAGGATAAGAATACAAAATCTTTATTTATAAAACTGGAGAAATTATAGGACACTCTAAAGAAAGCCATGCAAAATGAAAAAAGATGCTTGTTATAAATAGGGAAGGAAATTTGAAGTGATGCAGAATAAATATAGCTTTTTTGTATAGAATTGTTTGGCATCAAACAAAAATGCATATTCCAGTTGATCAAAGTTGATCAAGCATTAAAGAATTTTTTTTAAAAGAATTTAAGCTTTTGAAGTAATATTGTTCTTTGGACAAGTTTAAATCAGGCCCACTTTTCTAAATGATAGTTAGAGTTACTGGGTCTACAGAAGGTACTAATCGATAGTCTTCAAACAGACTACATTGCAGGGAATTAGTCTATATATGCTAAACACTGTGCAACTAATTTTTCATACAGAGCACTAAAGTACAACACATTTAAGTAGAAAGCAGTAAATTCAAATTTGAAAACAAGCTAGTGATACAAGTTAGTACATATTTTATGTTTACACAATCATTTTGTGTTAAATACCTTTAGGCCTAAGAACTATAGAAGAATTTGTCAGAGAATTGGGAATAAAGAATAGCTGATAATGTGGAACCAGCAATCCCAAATGGGAGATATTTGGGACTTTTTATTGGTTTTTGTTTAACCTGATTACTAACAAATCATGTATATGCTTGAATCTAAGCAAGACAGGTAAACAACAGCTTTGTAAAAGTCCTCGCTGAGAAATTTTAGTAATGAGGATTAGGCCCATTGCCTTACCAAAAGGCACAAGAGCATCGACTTGGACATCCTGTGGAGTGTTTCACAAAGACTAAGATCGACTTTAAGTTGGACCTAACTTTGGCAGGTCGTTCATGCCACTGGTTGCTCCCATTATTGGTCTCTCAATTATGATCTTTGGATAATACTTTTTCCTTCAATAATGAACTATCACAACATATAAATTCTGTAGATTTGAGACCACGATTTATACGTCCCTTAAGAAACAAATGCCAGAAAAGGTTAAAGGAAAAAGTGGCATGAACAGCCTGCCATAGTTAAGTCCAACTTAAAGTCAAGCTTAGTCTTTGTGAAACACACCCCTGGTAGTGAGACCAATGTTCTATATCTAAGTCATCTAAAGTAGTTTGTGGGTGAAGTACTCATGAGGTATAAAAATTAAAAATTTGATTGTGTAAACAAAAAACTTGTTAAAAGCCACAACCTGCGTTCAAAACCATAACACCAAACATGACAATCAAAAACACTCCTACATACCTGAAGGCTTAAGTCGGGTCATCATAAGAGGCTGAGGGTTAACGAACCGGTCAGCTCCACCCTCGTTGCCAGGGAACGGTTTCTTCCGCTCACCCCACCTGCCCATGAAGTACTCAGCAAGGGCGCTGTGATAGGAAGGGGCTTTGTCCTTTTGATTTAGATACCTGTAAAAATTAATAAAATAATATTATGATGTACATTAACTAAAGCATGAAAGTATATTGAATTTTATTTCATTCAAATATAGATGACTGGATAGTGACTTGATCTCTATTCTTATACATTTTAACACTCCATATTCAATCTAATACAGAGCTTTTTTTTAATGCAATTCATGACATTGTAGGCCTACGCTGCATATGCCTTTAATACAAGCCACAATCACCATAATTATGCTCTACATTGACCACACCATGTTTCAGATATCACCAAAATATGCACCACACATTTGCCAGACTACCAACCTCTCTGTTGCTGCTTCTCTGAACTGCTGATCTGCCCACCTCCACACCCACACCCCATCAACCTTCCACACCCTGAACAGCTTCCTCAGGTCAGTCTTGAGTCGACACCAGAGGGCGGGCGGCATGCGTCTCAGGGCTGGTGAGTGGTTCCTGGCGACATCTGTCATGGCATGTTCATCGCAGGAGAGGATGTCGTTGAGTTCTGTCCAGGACAGCCCACTTCGTGCCGCTGTCAGGTAGCCAAGGCATCGTCGAACCAGAGGTTCACCGTGTTTGGATTCAAGCGACATCAGGACACCTTAATAGAAAGTAAAGAGCATTCTAATGTTTCATTCTTTATTATGCTACATAAAAATTATCCCTAAGCCACATTATATCATGGGATAGATATCCCAAAGGTTCAAATTGTACTGTGACCAGAGCCAAAGTTGAGGGGCATAGTGCAGCGACGAGATCACCGAGGAGCTACAGTTGTAACCATGACCCCCCAACAAATTGTTCCTCTTCGCTCTTGCAATGTCATACGACTGATCATCTTTCACAAGTCTGTCGCCACCTACCTTTTTCTCTTCCCCAAGAAGTTCTACCATGCAACATCCTAAATCAAAACCCTTTGACAGCTTTTTACCAATCTTGCGACTTTTCTGCTTGAAGGAATATTGGCCATGCACACATCGCTTTAGTGCACCAACCTACCACTAATCATCTTCCTCAGATCCGTTGCTATGTACGTCTCTCTCTTCTCTGAGAAACTCTTCCACCCAACGGCCTGGTCGCAGATCAGCCTCAGGTACAGCGGTGATGACACCTCCTCCATTGCCTTCATCACTGTCTCATGTTGGTCCTGGGTGATACGTCGACCTTCTTGTTCCAGTAGATAGTTGAGGATGTACTTGGCCTCGAGTTGCGTCAGGTCAGGGAGGGTGTAGAAGTCTGCATCAGGACATTGTTTCTGGGAAATAAAATGGATGGAATATACCAGGAATGTGATAATAGATTATATCAAATATTTCTAGAGACACTTGGTTTGATGGTTTGATTTACCTGACTGCTAAGAAAGCGGGTGTATGCTTGCAAGTAAGCAACCAGGGTGCCAACGGCTTTAAGACCTCTCTGAGGGACTTGGTAATGAGGATTGATGCCTTACCAAGGGCACTAGCGCATTTACTTGCTTTTGAACCCGGGACCTCCAGGCTACAAGACCACTGGTCTACCACTAAGCCATCGGTCTCCTTCTTTTCCAACTAACTGAACCTCTACTTTTCAAAAGTTGAAACTAAAAGTTATCTATAAAGAATACCTTATAGGGCGATTTACGAATACATTATACCTTTATTTTCTTCGCAATTCTTTAAGGTTAGAAAGGACAGAGTACATTCACAATTAACCTGTTGACCACTGAATGATCTCCTTTGCGTAGGCTGAACACACGAATCCCCATGTCCACATAGGCAACGGGTTATGATTTATTTTCTTACAAAGAAGATCATAATATAATAAAGATCATCATAATAATGAGGGGTCCACAATTTACAAGCTTTGCTTTTCAGTGGACCTCTCCATTTTCTCAAAATATAAATGCAATTAAGTTTTAAAATTCATTTTTTTGTCTTCCTAAAATGTATAAATTATTATTAAGATTTGTTTATTACCATGTTTTGTATACATTTTACATTGTATTCGTTATTATGTATTGTATTTTGTTGGAAATGAAATATATAAGACATATGACAATCAAACACTTACTTAAAGGGACACGGCATACTTTGTCTTAGATTCTGAAACAAAATTCTGGATTTAGCTCATGCTGCAATGATAACAAGTCAACGCAAAGCGTAGCATCCCCTCACAGGGTACAAATGGCCTATATACATGTACGTCAGAACAAGTTACCTCCATTGGACTATACTATTATATCACTAGGCAAGGAAGTTAACCACATTTTCACATATATAAGTAGGTGTTTTTGCATATTTAATGAGCTATGACCTTTCACCTTTGACCTACATACTCAGAAATCAAATTCAGGCTGTACATTTATTTTGATACCATGTACCTTCATATTAAATTTCATTAAAATTTGTCAAATATATTACTCAAGTTATCAAATGGAAACAAGATTCCCATATTCAATGAGCTATGACCTTTGACCTACATACTCTGAAAACAAACTTAGGCTGTGTTTTGATACCATAAAACTTCATATCAAATTTCATTAAAATTTGTCAAACATTACTCAAGTCATTGAATGGAAACCAGATTCGCATATTCAATGAGCTATGACCTTTGACCTACATACTCCGAAATCAAACTTAGGCTGTGTTTTGATACCATGAACCTTCACATTAAATTTCATTAAAATCCGTCAGACATTACTAAAGTTATCGATCGGAAACCAGATGTGTATTTTTTTGCATATTTAATGAGATTTGACCTTTGACCTACGTACTCCAGAATTGAACTTAGCCTGTATTTTGATATCATGTACCTTCATATCAAATGTTATTAAAATCCGTCAAACATTAATAAAGTTATCGATCGGCGGCGTTACTATATCCCCTCCGACTTCTTCGGCGAGGAGATAATTATAAACCTTTAGGTCAGTCAGGAACCCCATGACATTTACAAGCTGGTCGCCTGTCTGATTATCAAGATATTTATGATTGGAAATCGAAACCAAATGTTGCGTTTGTCTAACGGTTTTCATAACACTACAGTCTATTAGGGAAAACGAGTATTTGTACTTGTTTAGGGCTTCAATATTACACCATATCACAGACACTGATAACACGTAGGGCCATGTATCTCAGATTTAACATTGTTAAACGATCCCTTTAAGCTAATATTGTGCTATTGAAAGTCAACTAAGTACCAGAAACAGGGTTAATACCTTCAAAGCTTTGAAACTGTCTGTCTTCTCCTCTTCCAGAGTAGTACATGATACCACTATCTTCACATTCTCAGGTAGGTTGCTAGGCAACCAGACCATAGACCTGGCCTTGTAATCATCGCTCAGTTTATCAGGGCCGTCAATGAAGATGATGAGAGGACATTGAGTTGTTGCTATGGTGATACGCCCCTCAAGGTCGTTGATCAGTGCATGGAAGTCCTGAGTTAGGGAAGAACAAGAAGACATGTTTCTTTGGATAAATTATATTAATTGATAATGAATATTAAAGGAGCTTCTGTCCATTCTATTCTAACTCTATTCTTTCAATTTAAAAAACACTGACATGAAACAATATGGTTCGTCTTAACTATTTTGTTTCTAGCCCTATCAGCTTGTAAATTGTTTTTTTCCAACAAGTTCCAGTGCATTTCTCCCATTCACTCTCTTGATTTTTCTTGTGAAGTGCTTTGTTACCCTTCCCTTATTCACTTTCATTCTATTCCTTAAATGAAAATCATACAAACTAGTTTAAGTTATGGCTTTGTATCAAACTAAGAATACCCACACATTGATGTTTATTCCATCTTTCTCCCACACCAGAACAAGACAAATACAACAGCATCTCTTAAATGCCTCCGCCCTAAATTCAGTATAGGAAATGGATAAAACTATTCATGACATATCAGGATGAAAAAAAGTCTATAATCAAATGTCAACTGACGACTATGATCCTGACCTACTAGCCCCAAATTTTCTTGGTGGGCAGATCCCAATCTTCAACTTATGCCCAAAATTGTCTTCCACATTTTTCAAAATGATTTACTTTAAAAAAATCAATGTTTATGATTACAAGTCAGTTAATTCCTTCAAAAAAAAGTTGAAGCAGTTTCTTTATCTTAAATATGTATAGTTACTTATCTTATGTTTATATTTGTGTTATATGTTTGTTTTTTGTTTTTTTTAAACGTTACATTGTTTTATCTTTGTTTTTTAAGTCTTTGCTTTACATTATGCTATGAATGCTTTGGGAACTATGCTTGTACAAGGCCTAAGGGCTTTATTTATGTAGTTTCCCATTTCATTTCTAAATTTGTTCATGAATAATTTTTTTTTTTTTTGTATCAATGTAATTTTTAATCGAGCATGAAATATATGCGAATTCAATTCAATTAAAACAAGAACAAAAATTTATTGAACCTACCTCAGGGACTGCAGTAAGATCCAGGCTGTAGGTGTGGCTGATCTGTTGACAGATTCCTTGAAGTAGACAGCGGATGTTCTCTGATTCAGCAGTTAGGCCTACAAACCTCACCACTGTGGCAGCTTCTTGCCTGGAATAAAACAAAACATTTATCTGATGCGTTTAGAACATTGAACTCGCACATAAACCAAGATTTATATATCAAATCAATCCATGTGGCCAAATAGAACATGTAACACATACAGAGTAAGACATTTTGAATAATAGTTTGTTGTCACTGGTGAATAAAAGAATATAGGAAAAGTAGATATCGAGGGAAACAAAGCAATACATTATGTAGTATATGCTTTGCCACATACAAATACAGCCCTGACGAATTATTAAAAACACATTACGTAGATGGATTTGTATGGCTCCAGCATTAATTAACTAAAATCGAATTATTTCATTAATGAGATTCTAACTAAGTATTTTTATATTATACTTTTTTGTCCTTAAAAATGTTTAACTTTTTACTTACTCTTTTAACCATGAGTTGGTGAGTTGGCAAGCTTTGGCAATCAGTGATGTCTTGCCTCTCCCATCTAGTCCACAGAGCACAAGGGGTGTCCGACTGTCTCCTAGAAGATACTGCTTGATGTACTGCAGGGGCTCCTTCCTACCATAGAAACGTCTCGACCTGGGGGTGTTTCACAAAGATTCTAAGTTGAACTTATCTCTATGTTGGACCTAACAATTATGGAAAGCCGTTAGCATCCTTGAAAATATTTTGTAAAAGTTATTTTAAGGCATAAAATGTTGATTCAAATCATTCACATTTTCTATTATCATATGAGATTTTATGTTCTTGATGTGGAATCTATGAAAAGTCTAAAATACTTCAATCTTTGCTTTTGAATATATTTCATTATCAGTCTACAAATAGCTCTCCATAATATTCAAGTCCAACTTAGAGTTAGGTTTGACTTAGAATCTGTGTGAAACACCCTCCAGGAGATGATTGCAATCATGATTATAGGTGCTGGTAAAGTCAAACTGTTTCTAATTTTGGAATTTATGCCTATGTGCTGTTCTTGTCTACTACTTTTCCTAATAGAAAGATTTCTGTGCTTCAGTGAAAGTCTGTTTTTTCCAAAACCATCTTTTATAAATTTTCTTCTCTTTTCCAATATAATTTCTATGTTAATGTGATATTTTGTAACTCCAAAGACTTTTGATAGTGGAACCTCTCCTCTATCCTCATGTTTTTCCTCTTTTTTCTCCTCCTAATTCTTCTTCTTTTTTAATCTTATTTACTATTATTTCAATGTTATAAATACATCTTGATTATAAGTCTACTGCTCTTATCAGCAGAAATAATTATGAAAATAGTAATGAGAAAATAAAATTTGCTCTATTTCCTGTTAAACCTTATTTTCGTTTTCCAATGTATATGCACATCTTTCTTTTTCCTTCATATCGTTTTGTTTATATATATATATATACTTACCTATCTTGTAAGAAGTTGACATGCTGGGCGACCTCCTCATAAAGACTGTATGATGGTGCAGTAGTAAGAGATGTATCTTCGTACATCGCCCTCTCTAGTTTGACTTTCATGGTATCAAAGAACTCATTGGCAAGTCCGTCTAGATATTGAGAGTGCACCCGCACATGGGTAGGATTGACGCCATCTTTGTGCCATATGATGCTATGCTCATGGACGTTACTGAAGCCGATCTATGAGACGGAAATATCACAAAGATATATGAAGAGCTAGGTTTCAAAAGGTGTACATCCATTTTTATCAAATAGATTTTTTGTTTTTTGCGTAATGTACACAATCCCAGTAGCCTCATACACACAAAAAAAAAACCCATAAATTCATGAAAATTATTTGTGCAGACTTTGATCTTTTTAAAGAGTGTTTCTATACTTGTATCATGCAATAGTATAATCAGCCAGAGTATAATTCCAAAGTGACGTTGCTAACCATGATACTTGACATTTTTTTGTTTTTCTCAGAACTTGGATTTATGGATGTAGTACCTTTTGGAACAGAGCTCTTCATATTTTGCTGAGTCATTCCACTTTTGTTTATATTAACCTGGGATGAGTGTGGTAATTCACTATTATTACTGTCCAGCCAAACAATGGGATCGTTTAACACCATATACATTTGCAATCCATTGGCCAGAAATTAATCCACTAGACCACAACAGGCTAAGCCATAAACCAGTGGCAGCGGTGGGATATCTTCATCATTAGAGGTGCCATGGTCAAGTGGGTAAGTCACCGGACTGTCAATCACAAGGTCCGCGGTTCAAGTCCCACCGCGGCACAAATGTCCTTTGGCAAGACAATGATCTACATTTGCCACACTCAACCCAGGTGATCGATGTAAATGAGTACCTGACAGAAATTAATTCCTTGAAATGCTAGAGCGCCGTAATGGTAGCCATACTAAAGCCAGGGTAATAATCGGGAGCGCCAGGAGTGTCAAGTCTGACAGACATGGGCGCTATACAAGAACCCACTATTATTATTATTATTATTACTATAATTAGCTTTTCCCTTGTCACGAAGGAATAACATACTTTCATAGCCTATACATCTGTTTTTATCAAGCTGATGTGTTAAGGTGCTCTTTTCTTATACTGTATAGCTTACATCAATTTAGTTTTAAATGGGTATGTATGCATATCAATCTTGGTTTTCATGAATTTCTCTGAGCTAGCTGCATTGAGTGAAAGAATGAGGAGCAAATTAAAGATCTTATTGCAGAAACTGGGAATCAGTCTTTTATCAGGTCATATGAGTTTCCCATTCCAACACTGATGGTCAGAGAAAAATATGATTTAAATACAAATAAATAATGATATGTATGCTGACTATAGGTCAATATACATCGTTCTGTAATGGGCACTGATGGCGGCGTTTTTCAATCCAGTAAGCAAATAATGTCAACTAGTCAGCTGTACCTTTTTCAACTTTGCCCCTAAGCAACAATTTCAGGTGCAATGGCCATGCATGAGCAAAGGTTCTTTCCCCCACTTTTATTTGAATAATTACATGCTAAAGACTAAAAACCTACACTCTGTGGTACTTTCACATCTCGAAGGTCTTCAACTCTTTCAAACTTGGGAAAGTCAATCTCTGGCTTCAGGTTCTGCAGGTCGATGAAGTCTTTGGAGTTGTAGTCTTGAAGGTTCTTCCTGAGGTCCTTGATGTGCCGCACAAAGCTGGCAACCTTTTTGCTTTTCTCTGGCTCGGCAGAAAACACTGCATGGTCCAACTCTCTTTCATTTACTGTAGTGTTAAAAGAGAGGAATAATCAGTTTTATTCAAGCTGAGAAACAAAAATTTTCTGTTCATATTAAGCAAATATTAATCGACTACGAGGGTAATGGTGCAAACTATCATCGCCGAGGTGATCTCGGGGCTACTATTTTCCCGAGCCGCAAGGCGAGGGAACTGATGGTAGCCCCGAGATCACCGAGGCGATGATAATTTGTATCCATTGCCCGAGTAAAGGAGGTTAATATTTGTTTTATATCCCACATCGGCAATAAGGTCTATCTAAAGTGAATTTTACATAATAATAAGAACTGATTCTGCAGACAGTTTAGCTTCAGCTAGATTTTACAAAGCGCAACATGCATACACATGTAATACAGTCGATGCACGCTCATTTGACATTGACATTGACTTTGACATTTCGCTTAACCTACTTTGCTATGCGTATTCAATGGGCAAGGGTGGGCAAGTGGGGTAGCAGCAAAAAATTACTTTACAATAAGTACTATCTCAGGTAGATAGTACTTGTCTATACCTTTTTCGTGCTCTGTACAATCGCAATGCAAACATCTATACATGAGGGATATAATGTCGACTATCCTGCTGTTGTATTATTGGCCAAGATAATTCATAATTTTGTGCATCTTGCTCTTATTTATACACATCGATACTATTACTCAAGATTCTCTTCTAAGAATTTCTTCTCCATCCCAATTTTTCTCCATTTCTTTCTGTGCTCTAGAATTTTCAAACTTTTCCTGTTTTCTGTTTTTTATGAAATACTCTCCAAGGTCTTTCTACCTGTTCACTAAGCTACATTTTAGATTTATCCTAACTACATTTTACATATAGTCTTGGTAGTCTACAAAACTCTCCGTGACCCATTTTATTTGGCTGGATTAGTTTCTCCATAACATTTTTTCTTCTTCTTCTTCACACAACTGTTTTCACTCAGGAATATCGATGTTTGTACATCTAATCGGCTTGGAAACGACCCCTTAGAGCAATGCTCATTAAAACTGCTGTAAAAGGCCTAGAAAGGAGTATATATGCGAGGATACATGCATGAGCGTTTCACGTTAAGTGTTAAAGGCCTAAAACAAGACACATAAGACAGAAGTTAAGCTGGCAATGCTTATTCTCCCTAAGGAAAATGTTCACTTCCCACCTGTTTGTAGATACGTCTCTGCTCTCTTGGTATCCTTGATGGCCATGGGAACATACTTTGTGAGAGTCTTGATGAGTCTCTTATACATCACCAGCCATTGGTTCTTTGCTCTCAGTCTCTTCTGCTTGTCATTGCTCAGTATCTCTCGGAACTGGGAGCTGAGTGGAATTGGGAAAATCAAGAATTTAATGGCGCCAATCAATAAATTATACTGTTCTGTGTATTTCGAGTTTCAAATTCCTATGTTTCAGCATTAATTCTTGCTGATGTAAGGAGATGTGTCAATTCTAAATAACACAATTGCACCCTAAAATAAAGTGAAATGAATTTGTAAGGGGGATTTTCTTTATATTCTGACTAACAGCATTATTTCTTGCTGTGTAAGAGGTATTCAATTCTCAAAAATATAATTGCATTCCCATCAGAATTAAGTCTTGCTGATGTAAACAGATATCTAATTTGTATTAAAGAAATTGCCCTCTACATCAAAGTAAGTAGGATTCAAGGGTGGACACACACAAATGCACAAATTCTGGATGCTCTTAAGTTATATGCGGTTGATATGTGTGAGGGCTTCAATGTAAAATAATTGTTGCAGTCTATTTTTAATTTGCTTATCATTTGAATTGTACAATGTATCCACAATATCACCTTTCACCTAATTACCTTATGACCCTGTGACCCTTCTTACCTGATTGGTTGTAAGACGTAGACAGGCCGAAGACTGTTCTCATCCACTTTGTACCACGTTTTGCTGTCTGTATTTAATTTGATTATCATTTGAATTGTACAATGTATCCACAATATTATCTATCAGCTTTGAATGACCCTATGACCTCGTGACCCTTCTCACCTGATTGGTTGCAAGATGTAGACAGGTGGAACATTATTCTCATCTAGCTTGTACCAGGTCTGGAGGGCGTTCAGATCCGCCTCAAACTCCTTCTCAACAGGGCCCTTCTCCAGGTCTTCCTGGCCTTCCGCTGGCAACCTTTCGACCTCACTAAATGGAACAAGAAAGCACTGATAAGTTGACATGAAACATCTTTTTAAAGAAATTACATGAGTGTTAATATCATATCATAATGTTTAATCTGCAGGCTAAAGAAGAATATCTATGTATAAACATAAACATAAAAATATGTATATTACCATTGTTATCATTATTATCATTCTATTATCATCATTATCATTACTATTACCTATCATTATTATCATCATTATCATTACTATTACCTATTATTATTATCATCATCAATATCACAAAGTGATTTAGTGATACATTTATAGCCATCATTAAAAGAAATATCGTTTTAAATTCAAATGGTGGCAGTGGTGGGATACGTTAAAAGAAGAGAAATCTAGTTGTAAGGACAAGGAACCCTGATACAGTGGGGGTGATTCGCTTTGATTTGGTTTGATTTGATTTGATTTGGTTTGATTTGATTTGATTTGATTTGGTTTAGTTTGGTTTGATTTGGTTTGATATGGTTTGATTTGGTTTGATTTGGTTTGATTTAATTTGGTTTGGTTTGATTTGATTTAATTTGGTTTAGTTTGGTTTGATTTGGTTTGATTTGGTTTGATTTGGTTTGATTTGGTTTGATTTGATTTGATTTGGTTTGATTTTTTTGGTTTGGTTTGGTTTGGTTGGATGTTTTGTTTTATCAGACTGCTAAGAAAGCATTTGTACGCTAGTATAAGTAGGCAAACAGAGGACAGACGGGACTTGGTAATGAGGATTATGCCTTACGAAAGGGCACTAACGCATTGACTTGGTTTCGAACCTGGGACCTCCCGGTTACAAGACCACTGCTCTACCACTGAGCCATCGTGTCCCCTATTGTAATTTTGAGGTGTGATGTAAAATTTATGCTTAGCTGATATGTTATCAGTGAATATTCCAAATGATGGGTTTTACCTATTACAAGATAAAAAAACTCCATTAATATGCTCAGAATCCGGGAAAACCCACTCTTTATTCCTATTACATGTGTACATGCTTTGTATATTTGATTAAAAATGCTTGAATAAAGTGAACTGAACTGAAGTGAGGAATTTGCAAGCTGCTACCCCCCCCCCCCCCCAAAAAAAAAGAAGTATATATATTCATCAAATATTTGGTTATAACATAAATTTTCACAACCACAATTGATCTTAACATCAACTCATGCACAGTTGACCATTAATCAAAAATGTATATCTACACATTTCTTGGAGGGTTGTTAAGAAAGAGCAGAGAGCATGGAACACAAAACTGAATAAGAAAAATTATTCTGATGAGAGTTGAAAGGGAGAAACTTTCATCATAAACACAGAATGAGGAACACCGACTTACCGCCATACTGAATTCCGACTATCATGAATGAAGCATGCACATAATGGAAAAAGCAGGTGAAAGTTAGAAAGTGTTAAGTGAAAACGATGAAAAGGCATGCAAGGTGAATACAATGGTGATTTCTATTTCTAACAAAGAATTTCATGATTTCATGATTTCTCCTATATTTGTAAAGCGCTTAGAGACATTTGTATTAAGCGCTATATAAAAGCTATTTTATTATTATTATTTATTGAAGCTAACATGTTCTTTAAACTTCTTTAGATATGTCGAATGATATCCATACAAATTTAAGAATAAATTTAATTTGATTTTAAACCTTAACTAATCATTTCAGAGAATGCATCATTCAGGGAATGTCATAAAAATCCTTTGTTATAAATGCACATAAATATTTTGTTGTTAAGTAATCAGTAAACACTAGTAATTTATAAACAATTAAATGAATTTTTTTTTCTCATAAATTTTCTCATTTTGTATGCATACAAAGAATAACAATATTCCCAGGTAACTCAATTCAAACATTACCAGGCCGGTACGTTTAATAACTTCTCTAAGTTGTATACCTTTCTCTTGCTTCAACAATAATAACTACTAACAGAGAACGTTTCCTTCCACCAAAACAAATTAACAAACAGAAATTCCTGTAAAATTCCCTCACTATCAAAACAAACAGGGCATGTCCAAGCTATATCCCATACGTTACCAAGCACCATTGAATTGTGAATAGAAAATTGACAGAAAAATATATCCTTTGGCACGACTTTAATCTATATTTGTCAGGTGTTAAATGGGTACCCGGTAGGCTGTGAACTTTGGTGTGGTTGGATTGGCATGTGTGTCTTTTTAAAATGTGAATGCTCCCAAGGGAGCAGAGAATGTGCACTATCATGTACAGATGAGCACTTGAATCCAATGACCAGGGTGATAGTAATTACAATGTAAAGCGCTTATAAAAGTAGTATTAAGCGTTATACAAATGTGATTATTATTATTATAAGAATATCATTTGATTTGATGTATGATCCCTTTCAAGGTCTATCTGGTAATGTTTTCAACTTGATACGGTCACCATTGTGGGAGCAGGACGGTATAGTGAAGGCTATTGACTCTCATATGAAATATCCTGGGATTTGACCCTTGCTTGGTGTTTGTACATGGTTTTTTGACCCTTCAATAATCTTCAAACTAGTGTCAAGTTTGTTCAACTGTCAATAATGTAACTATTACTAATTCAATTTTTATAATATTGTTTCCAGATTTTATATCCTCTGTTTTGTAATATTGTTTGTTTTCTGTATACATTCAACCCTATGTGAAATAAATAAATAAAATAAAATTAAATCAAATTCAAATAGCAGTGCCAGCAGGAAAAGCAGTATGTGCCAACCATGGGTAAATAAACCCAATTACCCACATACTGATATTAGATTTAATATTAAATCAAAGGTGTGGTCGGTAACGTATGGGACAAAATGGCTTGGACTTGCCCGATAGAAACATAGGCGTGTTACCGTCGAGTCATCCCTCCAAACACCCTCATGGTAAGCATCATGCGATTAACACCAGACAGGAAAGAACGCTTTGTGCTTATTGGTGGAGAGAGAAGGGTCACATGCATTTAAATGAGAAGGAAAGGGGGATATGTAAAAGGGGTGATGGTAGGAATGGCAATGAAGTCATGCAGGTGATTGTAAGCAGCAGCTTCTTTTTATTTTTCACAAATTAATAACAATTCTGGAATGATGTCAATGCAGTGATACCTTTGGAAAATAATAATATGAAGTTGGTGACAAAGAGGAATTTTGTCTAGGCATAAGATTCCATTTATCTCCAGATAAAGAGTGATTGCATCCACATAATCCCTCTTAGAGTATATGTTCCCCTTAACAATTGCAAATGTTGTTGCATTTTAAGCCCTGAAACCTTGTGTGCATCACATTTAAATCATTCACTGCAATGTGCAAATAGACAAAAGAATTGCTTGTAAAAAGGGTCCATGTGTTTGCTAAATAACTGTTGCGTGAAGGAAAACTGTGCCTAAAGCTTTGAATAGACTTTAATCATTTTTACATCATAAAACGGGTTCCTCTGATGAGCTTAAATCTGGAGAAAAACACATATATGTTCATTAAATTTAATTAATAATGCTTTTATGAGAGGGACCAGATTTGCATTACATGAATCATTGGTATTGAATGGCATATTATGAAGATGGGGTCCAAAAGGTAAAACTCCAGCAAATTCGGAATGGTATTATGGTAATAAAAGGGAAAACAAAAGAAGCTCACTTTGTTATAAAACACAAAGCATAAACAGGCAAAAGGTTAGCATACACTTCATTTGAAGTAAAACATTGGGCAAACATTAGACTATAACATCAAAGGCAAAATAACTTATTAATTACAAAATGAAACTGATTAATTACGAAATGAAATCGATACATATAAAATGTACAGCAATTCTTTTCTCATAACAATCTACTACATCGCCACAAAACATTTTTGCAGTTGACACTTTTTAGTAACAGCATCATCACCTTTTACATGCAAACAAGGTTAAAATCATGCACATGAATAACATTATTAAGCAAGCAAACAACAATATGAAAATCTGCACAAAATATATTACATATAATACACAGGTATCAAGACAAAGAAATATGTTTGAATTCATTGTAGGAGAAAAATACATATGTTTTGATGTTTTGTGATCTTAATGTAACAACTGGATTGAAAGTAACTGTGAGTAATGGTTGATAGTAAGTTCAACTCCTCTTATGGCAATGGATTCACTTTAAGTTATGAGTGGTAATGATCTTGGCATGCACTATACAAGATGGGCTAATTTGTTCACTGAGTATCAAGGGTTACTACTCTAACTTTATCTCTTACAGAAAGTCTATACATCTATGTGCGAAGTGCGAGATTTTATCTAGTTACCTTGTTCCATCTTTCTTTGACTCTACTGTGATGGGTCGACTGTTCAGTTGCTCCTCAATACTGCAGTATGGTAATAAAAACGCAAACATACAACATGGAAGAAGAATCCCACAAACACATACATTGAAAAGAAAGCTAGACACCTTCAAGATATCATAAATTCCCTTGATTAATTGAATTCTTGTACCAGTATACCTCACTCTTCGTCACAAACAATCAATTTACCATTTGAAACACAGATATTCCCGTTAGTAATTAGTAAGTTTTAGATTTCCAAGTACAATGTCAACTGTCCAACAGTCAGCCTAGTTGTTAAAAGGAAGATAGTGGCGCATAAAAACTCTGGCTTTAAACCAAGGAAAACTTTGGCCAAGTAATGTTTGTTTTGCCCTTATCTGGGATTCTTTATGCTGTCATCTACATTACTACTGTATGTCTGGTGCAGGCCTACATCCAAGAAAGGTTGTGACTAATTGGCCAGATGATTTTTTTTTTTTAAATAAATATTTATGCCATTACATTCCATTAAAGGTATCGTTTAACAATGTTGAATCTGAGATGCATGGCCCTGTGATATGGTGTAATATCGAAGCTCTAAAATAAATAACACTTCAAAATAATCATGTAGTGCCTCAAAAATGGAAAAATCTTTGAGTGACAGGTTTCACCATACTCATATTCCCCACCAATCTGTAGTGTTATAAAAACCATTAGGAAAACAAATTTTTAAATTTTGATTTCCAATCATAAATATCTTGATAATCGGACAGGCGATCGGATTGTAAATGTCATGGTATTCCTGACTGACCTAAAGGTTTATAATTATGATTGCAGCATGAACTAAATCCAGTCACTGATGACAAGTTTTGTGAAATACGGCCCTGGTCCCACATGGATTGTGCTTACTGTCTCCCTGCATGTTGCTACAGCTACCTGAGCTACGTTATCATATCACAACATTCATATTATAGGTTCCATTCAACCTCTGTGACAATTATTTTACCTTTGTGCAGGGAACGCAGACGGTCTTCTTGTAGCGACATAGTGAGCCTTCTCCCTCTCGATCGCTGATACCAGCGATGAGAAGTCTTCTTCTGGGAAAGAATCCGGAAGAGCTTGGAATCCCATCTTCTGTCCCATGAGGGTCTAAGAAAAAGGTATGATAATGATAATAATAATATTATCATTATCAAAACTACAGGACCATCTTGACGAATTAGAAAATTGGAGTAAAGACAATGACATGAAATTCAATACCACCAAGAGCAATGCCATGTCTGTCAACTTCACGAAACGTCCCATCAACACTCCTTGTTTGCGTCTCAATGATGAGCCTCTGAAAACAACGGAATCCCAGAAAATACTGGGCGTGCACTTACAATCCAATCTCAAGTGGGACAAACAAGTTGGTGATATGGTATCAAGAGCGGGAAAGCAAGTATTTATGATAAGTCGTCTTCGAAAGGCATCCGTCCCAAGTTGTGACCTAGTCAACATCTACTTATCCTACATACGTCCTCTTTTGGAGTATTCATCTCCCCTTTGGTCCCCAAGCATCACTGCAAATCAGTACAATGATATTGAGAAAATCCAGAAACGTGTCTGCCGCATCATTATGAAGGACCAGTATGTCTCTTACGACCATGCTCTAGAGCACCTCTCCATCTGTTGTATGTCTGAGCGTCATGAACAACTACTGGATTCCTTTGCTCGTAGTCTGTTGAAATCTCCCCGGCACCGTGATCTTCTCCCTCCCTTACGTAGTGATATGTCCTCTCGTCGCTTACGCTCTTCACATCTTCTCAACACCCCCCTCTGTCGGACTACCCGGTATTATTCCTCAACGATACCCACTATTGTTAGACTGCTTAATTCACCTTGAATCTTTGAACTAAAGCTAACAAAGATCGAGTAAACAAAACAATGTATTTGATTATATTCCCACATGCATATTCATCTACTGATTGCTACTTTTGTATCTCCTCTTCTATGTGTAATATCAATTAATAACAGAACTTGAGAATGTTTCAATCAATGTGAAATAGCCTTTTTACTTGTTAATATTTATCTTTGTCGCTTTCAACATTACATCTTTATCATAACTATATTTAATTAATTCAAGGTTTCTTCACTTTATACTCTCTGATGTAATATTAATCTGCCAATTTCGCTGTATTCAGGACCATCATCTTGTTAATATTTATCTTTGTCGATGTCAACATTACATCTTTATCATCACTATATTTAATTCATTCAAGGTTTCTTCACTTTATACTTTCTGATGTAATATTAATTTGCCAATTTCGCTTAATTCAGGAACATCACCTTGTTTAACCAATATTGAAACTTAGCTTTAATATCTTATATTTTATCGTATTTTATCTGTATAAACATCTAAATGTTATCCCACCTACGTATCACTGTTGCAATGAACCTGTAAATTGTTAATTATCAATTTTCTATCTCATGTAAAACGAATGACAATTTTATATCATCAATGAAACTGTAAATCCTATTTAAATATACACAATATTTGTTAAGTGGGCTATATATTTTAATGTGTTATCAATGCAATGTTATGCTATGTACTTTTTTACTCTGTAAATTGAACAATTTCAGCTTTTAGCTGCATGTCCGATGATTTTTATCTCAATAAACCAATACAATACAATACAATACAATAAAGCGCTTAATACAAATGTCTCCAGGGAGAAAACAACAAAAATGATTCTCCACTGAGTAAGATATTAACTGCTGATGCAAGAAATGGAAGAGATCTAATTGACTGGGTTATTGCTACAGGTATAAGCTGAATAAACATCTTACAAAATATAAATCACATTTCTGTCAGTTTCTAAAAAAAAATGTTCATACATAAATGCAAGGACTTTCAAATTCTTTGAAAAGACCACTAGACCTATAAACTGGTGACCTGACAAGGTCTGGTGACAATCACTACAAACTAAATAGATCACAAATAGGGTTAGAGTTATGGTTCTGACTGGGGTCACTTAGGTTTATGGCAAGGGATAGGGTAAGGGTCAGGGTTAATAACGGTTACTATAAGAAATGTACAGAAGTCACATTAGGGATCACTTCAGGCCATGCTCAAAAACAGTGAACTCCACTCTCCAAATGTACTTTAAAGACCGTCAATACTACTGGGCCAGAAGGGATTAGACCACACAGCAAGATCACTGACGGGTGGCTATTTCATTAACTCAGCTCTCAACTAACATAAGAAAAAGAGGATCATGGGGGACGAACAGGCACAGATTGGGAAAGTTTTCTATATAGAGGGAGCAAGTAGCTACAAGTAGGACAGTGGGGCTTTAAACCACTAATGAGGAGAAGATTCAGCTCTGAGACAAAGTGATCCCTGATATACATCCTAAATGAGAGTGTGAAAGGTGTTTAGTCAAGCGTTGAAGTCAACTGTCACTGAAGCCAGTATCCCAACTATCCAATTTTACTCACCACAAAGAATGGCCCTTTTGACACCTTCTCACATTCCTGCAGCTCTGCCAAGCAGCCACTAGCGAAGGAATGATCGTCTGTGGAGTAGTCCTTCAAGCCCCAGTTCAAGTCACACACCTGGAACTCAAAACCCCTTTCACGACAGAATGCCCGCAGCCTGGGGTAGGCCTTGGCTATGAGGACAGTGCGCTCAGCTCCAAAATCTATGAAAAATGCATGATCAGAATTGTATTAATCTTAGTGTAAAAGTACCTCCATTGCTTTCGACCATTTACCTTAGTGGCACATGAAACCATGTATTTTAAAGCCTGTCTGTACTAGTTTGGCCAGGAGGGATTGGGCCTCCATACAAGGTCACTGACAGGTGCTTATCTCATCAAATCAGCTCTCAATTAACATAAGAAAAAGAGGATTATGGGTGACCAACAGGCACCGATTAGGCATTGTTTATTATATAGAGGGAGCAAGTAGCTAAAAGTAGTGTATTGGGCTTTTTAAGTACAAATCCCCACCCTGGGTGCATGCCTACCATAGTTATAAAGATCCTCTACTAGTATATGCCAAAGCAATGTTGATTGATCTAAATTGCATTCTATATTTAAAAAAAAAACAGCTTGCTAATAAATCACATACATTAATGATATATATCTAAAAATAGAGATTCCATACCGGTGAAGGTAGATGACACATAGAGTCTAAATGTATTGGACACCCAGGTACAGTGGACATCCACCTTGCTCTTCAGAACCCTGTCAACAATCTGCTGGTATTCCAGAGACTTCTTCGAGTCCAGCCCATCATCATGGTCTGGATAAGGAGTAGGTACAGGAGATACACAAGAGTGTGCATCTTCGACTGGCCCTTGGTGTCCACTTTTTGGAGATTCCAGCGATACTGTTGAATGACATCTGGTGTCCGCTCCAAGGGCAGGAAGTTTCAGGTCCTTGCCGGAGTGCAAGGCAAGTGGTGATGATACTCTACTAGTACTGATTGAAGGCAAATGTGACAACTGACTTGGCGATCTGACGAGAGGAGACACGGGTTTACTTTTGCCTACTGCTTTCTCGGGCTTGATCGCTAAGTCTGGAGGCTTTGGGCTTCTTGAAGAACTGACCAAAGTGTTCGCCACACTTCCGTCACGACTCATGCCACTTGACAAGCGTGACCTACCCGAGGAGTTCCTAGATCCCATCGAGGACAAACTGTCTGATAAGCCAGTGATGGACTGAAGTTCAAGTCTTTCAGAAGGAGCCCTGTCGTGGCTTAGAGCTGTTGCTGCAGGACTCCCCTTCTGAAACAAAGGTTGTTCCCCACTGGCTCCTACTCCCGGGATGGTCAATGGTTCAAGGATTGAGCTGGCCCTGGTTTCAACAGTTCTGTGGACTTCCTCCTGTGATGTCTCTGGAGCTTTGTCCTCTGCTCCATCTACCAGAACAGATTCATCACATTCAGGGCTTGGAGGGTGATCTTTCGGCAGAGGGGTGAAGGAAAAGGCTCCAGGATATAAACCATCCAGGACGTGACCCTCCTTGCTGACACGACCTCCAATTTCATTGTATTTGGTGAAGATATCAACCCGACCTGGTGTCTGTACAACAGGAGATGAAGCGGAAATTGGCAGTTTATGCATGAGCATTTTATTTATTTTGCAGTATCATACGTCTGAAATCGCATGGTTTGTATTAAACATTCATTTGATTCTAAGTTACCTTTTTACAAAATTACTTTCAGTAAAATGTTAACTTAGCTGACTCAGTTCAGTCTTTTTTCATTCTTCAGTTTAAAAAACATGCAAATACTAATATACAAAGCATTTCAAAGGTCAAATACAAGGTATATTACAAAAATTCATAGAAAATAAGAAGAATAAAAAGGACCGTCATACATTTGACAATGAAAGGTAGAATGAACAAACAAGATTCTAGTATTTAGAAAAGTTTGACGTGCCTCCATCCATCAAGAAACAAAATAAACTAATCTTGTTGTGCATAGATTGTTTCTTCAACTTCATAATGATATTTTAATTTCTTTTTGAAAACATGGAAATTGTTAAATTGTATATTCAAACCTTGGGCTTAAACTTGTAAACTTTATCTCCCTGGCCCTCAGAATCTATAGTCTCATTATCCATCCATGGTTCAGGTCGCTCCCGAAAACGTTGCTGAGAAATGAAAGAAAAAAGAAAGCTTTAATTTTATCGCCTGATGAAATTTAGCAGCGGCACACAAAACGTTGTGATCTTTTAGATCTCTTGTTGACCATACATTGCGAGACAAACGAATGTCACTAGCGATATTATTTTTGACTTAGAGTAAGTACATATAGTATACAAATATTGACTGATCATGAGGATGATGGTGGGAAATATCACTCCCAAGGTGGTGTTTACACCGGCCCTTCTATTACCCCCGAGGCGAAGCCGAGGGGGTGATAGAAGGGCCGGTGTGAACACCACCGAGGGAGTGGTAGTTCCCACCATCATCCGATTACAGAGCAGTCCATATTTGTTTTATATACCTCATCCTTTTTATTGATTCATGATTAGGTGTAGCTGTAGGTCTAGATCTAGCTCTAAAAACAGGAAACGAGATCAAGAGGAATTTACTAACCCAAATAAGAAAAATCCAACATCAAGTCCAAGGCAAGAGTATTGAATTCCTACGCGCTGCGCGTAACCGCGCGATTGCGGTAGCCTAGCAACTCAGAAAATTTGTGTGCGCAACTAAGTCGCGGGAGGGGTTAGGGGTCCTATCCCAGGGTTTGATAGTAGCTATCAACCCCTCTGACGTAATGATACTTGATAGATCGAAATGCTCCTTGACATGTGATATAGTCTTGACCAATCAGTGAATGACAATCTATGTATGAGGTATATAATATACAAATATTGACTGATCATGAGGATGATGGTGGGAAATATCACTCCCAAGGTGGTGTTTACACCGGCCCTTCTATTACCCCCGAGGCGAAGCCGAGGGGGTGATAGAAGGGCCGGTGTGAACACCACCGAGGGAGTGGTAGTTCCCACCATCATCCGATTACAGAGCAGTCCATATTTGTTTTATATACCTCATCCTTTTTATTGATTCATGATTAGGTGTAGCTGTAGGTCTAGATCTAGCTCTAAAAACAGGAAACGAGATCAAGAGGAATTTACTAACCCAAATAAGAAAAATCCAACATCAAGTCCAAGGCAAGAGTATTGAATTCCTACGCGCTGCGCGTAACCGCGCGATTGCGGTAGCCTAGCAACTCAGAAAATTTGTGTGCGCAACTAAGTCGCGGGAGGGGTTAGGGGTCCTATCCCAGGGTTTGATAGTAGCTATCAACCCCTCTGACGTAATGATACTTGATAGATCGAAATGCTCCTTGACATGTGATATAGTCTTGACCAATCAGTGAATGACAATCTATGTATGAGGTATATAATCATAAATATTCACCCTGTTCATCACTATCAGTTTTGTGGTGATGGTTTAAAATGATTTAAATTGAATTTGAACAAGAGAAAATAGTTGAAATAAATCCAATTCATGTAATAGAACTAGCTAAATGGATTCTTTAAAAGAATTGCAGCTGGATATATGTATTGTTTCTGTAATTCTGTCATCAATATATGGTATTCTTTTTATAATAAATTTTGGAAAAACCAAAAATAACTCACCCTCAAATAGGAGATGATCTTCCTGTCATTGTTTAGTCTCATTTTCTTCAACGCTTTACGTCTTGAGTACCGTTGGCTTGTGCTCTGAAAATCATAGACATAAAAAGTTGGTTAAGATTATCCAGAGGAGGCGTGATGGCTCAGGGGTCTCATAACCATGAGGTCCTGGGTTCGAAACCAAGCCAATACACTTGTGACTTTTCATAAGGCTTTAATCCTCATTATCAAGTCCCTCAGAGAGAATGTAAAGCTGTGGGTTACTTGGTTGTTTACTTACACGCATAAACATCATTCTTTTTCTGTATGCAGACAGGTAGAGCAATCCTTAAACATCATCACAAGAACAGTTTTATAAGAAATTGGAAAGAATGGACCTAAGTCAGCAATACAAGTGACATAGTTTGTCTTTATGTCTCTGAACCTGTCGCAGAAAATAGCAAAACGTTTAATTGATTTGTTTTTACTACACCAGTCTGAATTTGTTAAATAGTATTGTTGTTAAATATATTTTAAGGTGAGAAAATGTAGGGGGTTATATAGTCAGTTGAAACATTTGCTTTTATGAAGGCAAGTCTGATCATATCCAAAATATTCTGGCGATGCCCGGATGGGCCGATTTGAGAACTTACCCCATTAGTGTCAGGCCCAGCATATGATGCTGATATGAACTTTGACGCCTGATCGTCCGTTTTGGTATCCGTCGTGGATTCCACAGAAGACGATGTTTGGTCAGTCTGCAATGAGAAATACAGAGTAACAAATACAAGATGATATGAATTATAATATTCACAATTTTCATATTTAATTTCGAAGAGGACAAGAGGTATAATTGGTATAGATATTGACAAGCATGACCTTGGAATATTTTGGAATGAATCAGTGAGTGTCCTAGAATAGGCCAACAAGGAAATACAGTTAACAAATAAATTATTCTTACCCCTAGTAAACATCATGTTTCTTGTGTGTTTTCCGTAACTCAAGTATGAAATCGACTGGTTAATTACGGCCTTTTGTTGAATACTAGATGTAATCTTTAATATGTCACATTCTCAAGAAACATAAATCGGGACAAATAATTGTTCACATACTTAAAAAAATTATCAAACTTGGTAAGGTACTGTATGAATAATGGAATTGTTAACTGTATCTTAATAGTGTCCATATTCTCAATGCAAGAACATTCTTAATTACTTTAAAGGTAAAGACCAGTTATGGTCATGCGATTGCATTGTGAAAGAAACGTTGTGGAATCGATCAGAAAAGGTTGATCATCTAGCATCTAGCATCTGCAAGGTTCTGGAATCATCAAAATGATAAGAAATTTGGCCCATTCTTCGTAAAGTTACAAGCACTATACACAGAAAGATGTATATGGGACTACCCTATATCTCTCACAGACCATGAGAGAAACAAATTTACCAAATATATGAATTAGTAGGCGGTTTCCCGGCAAATTTGTTATCATCATGTATTAGTCAAAACATATTCTTTCACATGATTGGTAATGAGAGCTTCCATTTCATTTTTTGAAATTGGGGCGTTTCCAACACTGGTCTTTACCTTTAATGTATCAATAGAAATCAAAATACTAAGGACCAATATCAATTTCACTTTCATAGACAAAAGTTACACAAATTATGACAAAGCCTTCCCTATTATTTTCCCTCTCGTACTAAAAATGCATCGTCATTATTGTTTTCTTTTTTTAACTAACCAATAGAGAACATCCTCTTTGATCGATAGAAAACAGAAAAGCCCGTGAGCCCTGTTTCATTAAACTTTTGTATCAATAACAACTGCGAGAGATCTATAATAAATCTGCGCATAGCCAATCAAAGCTAAGGATTTCAGTGGCTTATAACAATGATGGCATCTTGTTATTGATAACAGGTTTCATGAAACAGGGTCCTGATCCGCGTTGAAACCATAGGATGCGCTATATCACCTGCAGTGATAAGTATCTGTTTGGCACACAGCTCATTTAACAGTTATCAATAAACGAAAAAAGTCTTTTATTACACAATGACCTGTTTTGCCCAAAACAAAAAACAGTTGCTCCAAAAGTCCTTGCGTTTGCTAGGCTTCTGGGTCATCCCTTTATCCCCAAACACGCTGACTGGGGGCATTTTAGAATTTAAATACAGAAATAGAAACTAATGCTAGTAACGAGGAGAATGGTTTGTTGTTATCAGCCATTTCTGAATGGCTAGAACAAAGTGCACAAGGATCACACCACTGTAGGCTTTTAGGTGGGGTTCAGTTGCGCAAGTCAAAGGCCCTGGTCAAAGGATCACTTTTTTTTCTTCAAAAAGAGTTAGTTACGGCAAACATTACCACTTCACAAGGTAGTAAGGTACGGTAAACTGCACATAATGACGTTTTTAAAATGTCACCAACATGTACAGCCTGAATGATTGCATAATTATACAGTCGTACCCTTGTTTTAAAACAAATTAATTATAAATTAAACTATTCAAGGAAAACTAAAACTATGTATTTTCCTAGCTTTCCACCCTCCCTTGGGGTGTTTCACAAAGACTAAGATCGACTTTGGGTTGGACTTAACTTTTTTTTTTTTTATTTATTAAAAAAAAAAAAAAAAAAAAAAATTCCCATGGCTGACCTCAAAAAGATGACCTTACCCCCCCCCCCCCCCCAACGGAGCAAAATGTCAAATTTTCAAATTTCGATATCGAAAAAAAAAGAAAAAAAAAGTGTCCTCTTCCCCTGAGTCGTTGCGATTTTTTTTGGGACCAAAAAAATAAAAAAAGTGACCTCTTCCCCCCCCCCCCCCCCCCCCCCCGCTGGCTGAGTCGTTGCGAAATTTTCGGCCCGATTTATAAATGTTAACCCCCCCCCCCCCCCCCCCCCCCTTGAAAAAATCCTGGGTACGCGCCTGATTGGCATGATTGGCCTTCTATTTAAGTTGGACTTAACGTCGATCTTAGTTTTTGTGAAACACCCCCGGGAGTTCCTATCCGTTAATTCGATTTATATAAATATCGAGGAGGTTATTTTAGGGGAGCTTGATATGAAGCATGCGTGGACGTAACCTAAGCTTCGTCCATATTAAGTTTCAAGTGCAGACGACATTTTCTATTTTATGACGAAATGTCCCGCTTTGTCCTTCGTTATTATTTAAGGTGATTTTTGGCCAAACCAAAGCAAAATACCGTTCCCCAATACGACTGCATTCATACTGAATTCATAGATGAGTTGAAAAACACAGCCTAGAACGAAAAATCAGTCTTTTCGTTCGGGGATATGTTTCGATAAGACTACATCTGGCTTCACCGAATCCCTTTCCTAAGAGGGCAGTGTCAAAAAGTCAAAAGGAGTGTTCCAACGAAAGGAAAGAGAACGTCTCCAAGTCGATGGATTGTTCCGTCTATAGTCAGACTAACTTCTTGGTCAGACTCATCACAGCCGAAGTCCGACATTGACAAGCAATTACTGTGATAGCAAAGAAACCGATCGCGGGCATTTCTTTTGTTCCATTAATCGGCCTTCGCACGGCGCAACAATTGCGCAGGACGCCATCTTTGGCAATTAATCAATACGCCATGAATGGATAATAGGTCACAATAGTGCAAATATTTGAATCGACTTCAGGAGGTCATTCTACCATGGAAGGATATTCTTCCATTGTCATTCTAGCATGGAAAATTGATTTTTATTTTGTAGTTTTCGCTTAAGCTTACTGATTGGGATGATTTCTCAGGTTCGTTATCATTTCCAACATCGTGAAGGTTTCCCACTGTTGATACGGTTTATCTAATTTGTTGCTAGCAAACAAAATCATCCAACGCCCCCGCCATAATTTAGACGTCGTATTCAATATTTATTTGAAACATGCGTAGAATAAGGTTTTCTTTAGAACCAAGAGGCTCGCAGCCTGAACCCCAAAATATACAATTTATGCTATCATTAATAATTACAAAATGTAATGCATACAATTCTGCGTCAGTGAGATTTGGGGGACAAAATCTCGACCCCTGCTTCGACCAACTGTTATTCAATCCGTCTTAAGAACCTTATAAACAGGGACTTTTAGATTTGCATGTCGACATAGTGGACTGCTACGTGTGATGTCCTTTTAAGGCAATGTCACACGTAGCAGTCCACTATGTCGACGTGCAAATCTAAAAGTCCCTAATAGCTGCAAGAAGGCATGCAATTTTGAGAAGAAACAACAAATCGGACTCGGGTATGCGCGGTCTTTAGGCCATCTCGCAGGTACAATCACAAACCGATTTATTTCTCACTCTGCCAATAGTTGTCATAACTGAGAAAACAAAAACATTCGTAGCCAATTTCGTATCAATTATCCCACAGCACAGAGATACACGCTATTTCTCACTTAAGGCGCTTTAATGGACATGATGAAAGCTAAAAGCATCGATCGCTTGATGAATGATATAAATCAGTCACTAGCGATCGATGATCAAATCGATAAAATGGCGTCAATTCAGATTCATTTTATCTCCTCATCTCACCCTGACGCTATCTTCTATTGTTATCACAAGTATCAGCGAAACTGGTTTCAGCAATCGATCAATCACACAAGGCGCATTTATACTGTCAAATACCTCATTTTGAAAAGTCGCGATGTTTCGTGCACCCGGTTACACTTGTGCTGAAACATCACCGACGGAGCTGTTCAGCGATGTTTTGGCGTGTTTCGGTTGTTAATGCGCATGTGCAGTCTTCCCGACCTTTGACCCCGGCCTGCTATAAGATTTTTAGCGCGCGCAATTTCCAGCTAGCGCTATAGCTAGCTAAATAGCGATACATCCTATGCGCATGCATGCGATATGTTTTGTTTATCTCGCGTGTAGTATTTGAGGCAATAGTGAAAAGTGTACGCAAATAAGGTCACATCGGACCGTCTGGTCTTACTCGCAGAACCATTTGATGTTTTATTTGTTTTGAAATCAATCTGGCCCACTTTTGGAAAGCACGGTATGTTATTTGAGGCAAGAGTGGATAAGTTACGAAGTACGGACTACGGCTGCTGATTCAGTTTTCCCAAATTCAATCGAAATCTAGTAGTAAAAACGATATGGGAAGGTTAAGAAAATCATCGTTGTTAATTGGAATTATGAGAATTCGCCGACGTCGTAGGGAAAGTGATCGTCGTGCTCGTTTTTTTAGGTACTTTATGAGGCGACAGCAAGAGCTCACCAACCTCAGTCCAATGGGAATTGTTCACTTCCATGGTGATATTAATTAATCTAACAAAACACTCAAATACTACTACTAGACAGATATGGCCAGACGGGAATAACGAAGATTGAATAAAGGATGAGTTAACGGAATTGGAACAAACGGAGCTGAATGAACGGATAACACGCGCGACGATGGAAATGCTATAAATATCACACGGGAAGAACGTGGTTTAAAAGAGCGCGGGTAACAATCCGGAAGTGCCGGAAGTCACGTGCCTAACATCGCGATGTTACAACTGCGAGCGGTTATACTTGCCAAACATAGTGTGGTACGGTATGTCACTGAAACAGCTCCCGTAGGACTTTTGTGCCAAAATTGATTTTTTGGCATTTTTGGATTGATTGGGGTCTAAGCTATCAGAAATTGATGGGGTTCAAATTTTCCCGACCCTCAACCCCTCTCTGGGGGGGGGGGGGGTAGTTTCCTATCATGAGACCCCCTAAAATTGGGTTTGTCATTCATCTAATGACTGGTTTCACAAAACTTGAGTTGTTTTCTAGAACTA